CTCAGAACCATTACAGGTATATAACATTACAGAGTCCTTTAGAGGCTGAACTAAAAGACATTTATGAACAGAAGATTCCCAATGGAGAAAAATATATCTTTTACTAGACTAACGTTTATTAACACAATGGCTGGAAAAATGAAGAATCTGTCTGTGAAAGTAACATCAGTTTGGAAATATGCAGCCAAATCAGGTTTCCTTATATGCAGTTATTAAATGTACATGATTCAATGTGCAAGCCTGAATATTGTGAACACTTTGAAACTGACACTGTTTTAAAACCTATGTTCAAACATTTGACTGAATGAGCCAGTCCACATTTTGTGATAGTGGCAGTACAGAGAAAATTACATGTCGAGGGCGGAATGTTCCTTAAAGTGAACATTAGCTTCTAAGGCACGCTCCAAACTCCAGGGCTTAAAATCACGATTTAAAGATGGCTATTCCTGATGCAGGTGTGATACACCCGGGATCAGTGGTAAGGGAAAAGGCGGCAAGGGCTGCTGTCACAAAGACCAAAGATGCCAGGTCTGCTCCGCCCTGCTGCCACTGATCCACAGAAAATGAACTCGGTGAAAGGGAATTTGAAATACATATAGAATGCTTCTAACTTATAAGAAAACCATGCGAGCTTATACACGATTTAAAACAATGCCCTATAAACTGAAAACATTACACTTATCAAGTTATTTAACTTGGACAGATCTGTCTTTAGTATAAGTTTTTTGTGGATGGTTCATACTTGAACTATACCACGAACAACCTCAGGGTCTTACCTATTAGCTTATATGCCAAAATTAATGCTGATGCAAATATGCATAATCACACTATCAGGCTAACTAGACTACCTCCCATGTACTAAATTGATAATAATAAAAAAAAATAGCAGCAATTAAAAACTAGGACCAAAAATGGTGAAAAAGAGTAAGCAAGAAAGGAAAACCTACAACCAGCTCAAGACAATATTATGATAAAATTCTTCCTAGAAAACTGCTAGAATTTCAGTTATCTGCAAGTATACTTGCATAGTGGAAGATTGTAACATCATTAGAATACAGAACTAGAACCCTCAGTAAACTCCTTTACAGGCTAATTTCAGTTCTGAGCTCCAAATTTTAGTGACCCTAAGTTACTTATTAGTACCAAGTCCTTAGATACATGAAAAAAATCGAAGTTTAAGAAAATGGATATAATTTCATCCTCAAACAAAGGACTGGAATTTTTGGATCTGTTCCAGAGCCACCTTGAAAACCCTTAAAGCCCACAATGCCCTTCAGAACCACTTGTTTAAATATTATTTCTAGTACAAGATAGCCTATCTCCCCACATCACACCTGCAAACAGGTCTCAAAATTATGGTGGCATTAATGAAGAATACATTAGGAATGTATATAGGGCATTACACTTATATATCTTACATATGCATGCTTTACAGTTTACGAAGCTTTTACATGCATTATTTCACTAATACATCCATCCTGAGAAGATGAAATTATCTTCATTTTAAAGATGAGAAATCTGAGGTCTAGAAAGTTAAGTGACTTGCTCAAGGTCATATTAGACATCCGGCTAAGTGGCAAAGCCAAGACTAGCAAATCTAGAAATCAAACGAAGTACATAAAAAGGCTTTTCAAAACTAAAAAAAATCTAGAAGGACCTTATTATGATCATGAATCTTTCACAGATGCACCAGTGAAATACCTATGCCCAGGCCCTACCTGAGCAATTAACTCTCCTGTGGGCCAGTTAGCAGAACTCTGAAAAGAGGCCCAGGTGATTCTAACATGCACCAGGGCTAAGAACTTCTGACCTGCTGTATCAGCAGTCCCCAACCTCTGTAGCACCAGGGACCGTTGCTCCTATGAGAATCTAATGCCTGACCATCTGAAGTGGAGCTGAGGCGGTGATGCCAGCGCTGAGGAGCGGCTGCAAAAACAGACAAAGTTTCACTCACTCACCCTCCGCTCACCTCCTGCCGTGCGGCCCAGTTACTAACAGGCCACAGACCAGAACTGGTACCAGTCAGTGGCCCGGGGATTGGGGATCCCTGGCTTTAGATGATACAAATGTCAACAGTGCTTTACAAAATGTTTCTCATCAGCATTTTTACTTTTGTTTTCCTTTTATATGAATTAATCATCACTCCTTAATTAGACCTAGTGTGACAGTTTAATAAAGCCAAAGTGCTGACTTTAAAGGTTTCAGTATTAACTACATGGTGCATAACTGCATATGACTAATTAAATGAAAATGTTGTTCTGTCTTATTTAGAAAAACTCTATTCTAGTCAATATGTAGAATATTCAATTTAAAAGCACAGCCTTCAGTTTGCTGTTAAGAACATTTAAAAAGCATTACCTTCTGATAATACTATAATACTACTATTTATACAATAATACATTTAAGTTTCATTCTTTTGAGGAATATAAAGCTTTATTGTACTAAACATAATAAAAATAGTAGTAGAGGTATTTAAGGGGCAAACTGGATGACAATTAGCACTGAAAATCATTTTAAAAATACTGGATACTGGACCAATCTTACCTTTTGAAGACTTGTTGGATTCAACTGAGTTTTGTCAATTATTTTTATTGCAACCTAGAAAAAGATAAATTAATAAGTATTTCTGGATTTTAAGAATTTGGTAATTATTTTATAATTGAAAAGAGGGGCTTCATACAAATAAGGGTATTATTATAACATCTTTCCCCTCTAAACACAGGGGGAAAAAATCTCACACAAACCAAAATATAAAAAATAAAAAGATTATATAATTAAAACACATCCAGAAAGTATGGCAATAAAGCAAATCTAGTCGCTTTAATTTTATCTGACTCTGGGAAACAAGCGCAGGAACTACACTGTCGCAGGTTTACAGGGTCTTGCACAGAAAAGAGAACTTGAGCAATTTCATGAACAGAGTGCTGCTGAATCTGAAAACTTTAAAAACGTTTTATTATAAAAAAGACAGAAAAGATCTATGCACCCCTATGTTCACTGCAGCATTATTTACAATAGCCAAGATATGGAAGCAACCTATGTGTCTGTCCATGTATAGATGAATGGACAAAGAAGGGGTGTGTGTGTGTGTGTGTGTGTGTGTGTGTGTGTGTGTGTGTGTGTACAATGCACACAATAGAATATTAGTCAGCAATAAAAATGAATGAAATCCTGCCATTTGTGAAATTAATGGACCAACCTAGAGGGCATTATGCTAAATAAGTTAAGCAGAGACAGACAAATATCTTATGACTTCATTTATATGTGGAATTTTTTTAAAAATCAAAACAAACGAACCAAAAAAACCCAACTGAGAAACAATGAACAAACTGATGGCTGCTGGGGGTGGGGAGTGGAGGGATGGATATAAAAGGTTAAGGAGAATATTGTCAATAACAGTGTGACAACTTTGCACAGTGACGGTTACTAGACAGTGTGGTGGTCACATCGTAAGGTACACAAAATGTAGAATCATTATGTTGTACACCTGAAGCTAATATTATATGCCAACTGTACTTTAATTTTTAAAAAATCCCTTTAGTAAGTTGAAGAAGGAAAACAGACTAGTTCCAGACCAAACTGTAGGCTAACCAAGTGAAATACATACAGAGGCAACAAATGGGACCAAAGGGGTGTGTACACCTCAATCTAAAAAACAAGCCCTTAAGATACAGAAAGAGTGCCCGCTTCGAGAGCACATACACTAAAATTGGAACAATACAGAGTAGCACGGGCCCTGCACAAGGATGACACGCAAATTCATGAAGCGTTCCACAGAAAGAGAAAAAAAAAGATACAGAAGGAACTACAGTTTCCAGTTATATGCACTTAACGAAAGAAAATAAAATCAGTTTCAGTTCTATTTACTAACTGGACATACGCCAGCATCCTCACCTGGTCAGTTTGTCATTTCTTGCATAAAGTGATTTCTAGGAACTATGAATATGCAGACTGGGGGGATGGGGATGACAACAGAGGAGGGAAGGGAGGGGAAGGGAAGAACAAGGCTTTGCCATGAAATGGGGAACATAACCGACGCAGCTTTGCATCCAAGGTCCAAACAACAAACGATCTTGCCCCACAGCGGTGAGGCCGTGTTTCCTGTGCATCCTTCAGAACAGATCCGATGAGCAGCACCGCTGAAGAAAGGGACAGTAGCCAAAGTCTGGGGAAAGTACCTGGAGATTCTTTTTCTTTTTCTAGTAATAATTTTATTATTGACTCCTTACTATATACTAGGCACTGAGCTGAGCCCTTTCCATAAATTACCCTCTTTTTCAATTTTTACACATTTTAATTTTTTTATTATGGTGACACTGGTTAACGAAGTTCAATAAGTTTCGAGTGCACCATTCAATAGTAAGGCATACATGTACTGCACTGCGTGTTCACCGCCGATAGAGTTCTTTCTGTCACTACATATTTGACCCCTCTTACTCGGCGATTCTTTTTGTCAATAGTTCTCAAACTTTTTCTTCCCCTTTCCACTCTTAAAGATTACTGAAGAACCCGAAAGTGGGGTAAATCTATCGATATTTACCATGCTATAAATGAAAACTGAGTAAGTGTGAAATAAGTGAACAATTCACTCAAAATAAGTCACAAAATGGTGCTGGGAAAACTGGATGACCACATGCAGAAGAATAAAGTTGGACTTTTACCTAAAATCACACACAAAAATGAGCTCGAAGTGGATCAATGACCTAAACTTAACACCTAAAACTACCAAACTCTTAGAAGAAAACAAGGCAAAAGCTTCATGACAATAAATCACTTGGGTATGACACCAAAGGCAGAGGCAACAGAAGAAAAAATAGACAGACTGGACTTCTTGAAAATTTTTAAATTTGGTACATCAAAAGACAGTATCAACTGAGTAAAAGGGCAAACCACAGAAGGGAAGAAAATATTTCCAAATCATATATCTAATAAGGGATTAATATCCAGAGTATATGGAGAACTAAAGCTCAACAATAAAAAAAACTGATTCAAAAATAGACAAAGGACTTGAAGAGACATTTCTCCAAAGAAGATATACAGACGGTCAGTAAGCACACTAAAAAGATGCTCAACATCACTCATCATTAAGGAGACACAAATCAAAACTACGAAATACTACTTCACACACATCAGGATGGCAACTACCATAGATACGTAGGTTGGAAGATAGAAAAAGCCCCAGTGAAGATGTGGAGAAAATGGAACCCTTGGACACTGTTGGTAGGAATGCAAAATGGCACCGCCACCATAGAAAACAGTACAGAGTTCCTCAAAAAATTAAAACGAGAATTACCAGATGATCCAGCAATTCCACTTCTGGGTAGGTACGCAGAAGAATTGAAAGCAGGGACTTAAATAGATATTCACACACCCATGTCCACAGCACCATTATTCACAGCAGCTAAGACATGGAAGCCACCCAAGTGTCCATCAAGGGATAAATGGATGTGTGATGTGCAATTACTCATACAACAGAATATTATTCAGACTTAAAACGGAAGAAAATTCTGGTAAATGCTACAACATGGATGGACCTTGAGGACATTATACTAAGTGAAATAAGCCTGTCACAAAAAGACAAATACTATATAGTTCCACTCATATGAGACGCCTAGAGTATTCAAAATCATAGAGGCAGAAAGTGGAGTGGTGGTTGCCTGGGGCTGGGGAGAGGGCAGATGGGGAGTTAGTTTGATGGGGTCAGAGTGTCAGTTTTACACGGTGGGAAGAGTTCTAGAGATGATGGAGGTGGTGACGACTGTACGATATTATGAATGTATTTAATACCACTGAAATATACACTGAAAAAGGGTTAAGATGGTAAAGTTTGTTATGTGTATTTTACCACAACAAAAAATAAAAAAACAAATAAGCCCACTACATGTTAACATAAATAATATTTTAATGAAATTCTCTTACGTCCTTTTGTATTCAATCTGTTGTGATATCATTCATCATGTAGCTTCTGCAAATTCTACTTTATACTCGTGAGAGATAATGGAAAAAGCAAATAAGGTCTTAATAGTATTACAAAAATAGTTTTGACTTTGCAGACCCCCCCACTAAACGGCCTGAGAAAACCTCCAAAAAACCCCGTGCCTACTTTGAGAACTGCTCCACTATTCATATTAACACTTGAAAAAAAAAAATGCTCAACTTAGTCTAAAGCTTCTATCACTTAAGCTATTTGATGACTTCCTATGACCCTATAGCCTCCAGGGCTATGAGGGGAAGAGAAACGCTGCATGAAGGCATCTTGTCTGGGGGGAGGGGGTTACCATCCCTGGCCCCTGCCTGGGGGAGGGAAAAACCAGAAGTGGAGAAGTAGAGAGTTAATCAGATGTGTGCCTGAAAAAAGCAAAGTCAGAATTCTAATTCTGTAGATGGAAAATACAATTATCTTGATGGAAAGTACAGTAAATAAAGCAAAAGCAAATAATGGCTGCTATAATATGCAAAAACCACCACCCTGTGCATATCTTGCCTGGGGAGATGTCTTCAGACGCCCTGTTACAGACCTGGCACCCTACCGCATGCAGCAGCATCCAGTGACTGCTAGCTGAGCGTCTGAGGACTTGGCCACTCATATCTGTAACTGCATATACATTAGAGATGGAGATGAAATAGTGAAGAAATAGTTTCTGGTGTTCAACAGATATCAATGTGGTTTAAAAGTTACATTATTTCAAAGCCGAATGAATTTTCTTCAAACTTTACTTTCAAAAAGAATTTTATGTGATATACTTGGACCTCCCAATTTCCAAAGTAACCTCTTAGATATGCTGTTCCTCTCTAGCCACCATTCTCTTTTCTTTCTCCTCCTCATGGCCAAGTCCGTCAAATATGCTGCCTTTCCAGTTCCTCTTCCCTCTGATCTTGAGTCCTGGTTTCTATTCACATGACTGGACTCTTGATCACTGTTTTTTTTTCTTCTGTTTCTGTTCAATATCCACCTTCTAAAGATTTTATCCTGATTCTGATCTTAAACATTTTTATTTTCAAGGAGTGCTATTCAAATAGTATCTACAGCAAAAACTGGAGCTCAAATATGTTGCATTTGGCTAAATCAAACCAAAGAGTCATTTCATCAAAAGCAAGTGTCCTCAGAGTAAAACACTGTCTTCTAACATGACGTGTGTATGTGTGTGGCACTGAAGCCTGAAGAGGAAGCTCCTAATCCCCTCTTCCTTCCAGCTCCCTGCTGGGGTGACTCAACACTCAAAATAACCTTGGCCCAGAGCTGGAGCCTGGAGGACAGCTCAGAGCTTGAGGTCACCAAAACAGGAGGCAACTGTGGGGTATCACTGCCTCGGAAAGATGGAGGCTAGCGAGAAGACTACCCGTTCATTCCGAAAGCTGTGGAGTCTGTTTGTTTGTTTGTTTTTGGGGGGAGGCGTGCACAGCAAAAGGGAGTTCACTAGGTGAGGAAAGAGGAGTTTCCGGATCACTTGTGTAAAGTTCTGGGAAATTCCATTTCTTTACCCTGCTGCCAGAAGCAAAGTGGAAAATTACAAAACAGGGATAAAGACAGCTCATACTTGAGAAAGTCCCGACGAACCCGCAGCAGACACCCATGGGAGCAAAATCCTTATCCTCTACCTCCTGTCTATTCACTACTGGTCAAAAGAGCCTAGCACCCTGCTCCTGACAGGTGTTAAACCCTCCACCACTAAAAGAGCAGAGATTTCCAGTCCTTTAGGACAGAGTGGCCCATAAAAATGGCATATTACTCAGCTTGGGCTGCCATAACAAAAAATACCATAGACCAGGTAGCTTAAACAGCGGAAATCTAATTTCTCAGTTTGGGAGGCTGGAAGTCCAAGATCAGGGAGCCAGCCCGGTGAGTTCCTGGTAAAGCCCCCTCTCCTGGCTTGCAGATGGCCTGCTTCTCGCTACATCCTTACATGGCACAGAGAGAAAGTAAGCTCTCTGGTGTCTCTTCCTATAAGAACATGAACCCTACTGGATCAGGGCCCTACCATCATGACTTAATTTAACTTAATTACTCCACAAAGGTCTTATTCTCCAAAAATAGTCACACTAGGGGTTAAGGCTTTTACATGTGACATTTTGGGGACACAATTCAGTCCACAGCAATAAAGACCAAACCAAACAAGTGGAACAGGTGGCTACAAAATAAAACTTCAAATTGAAACCTAACGATATACAAGATGGAAAAAATACAGGATGTGGAAAAACATGACAAGCATAGAGTAAAAGAAACAGAAACGAAACAATATATATTATACTGTATGATTCCATTAGAATTACATTAAGAAAAAAAATCGCTGGTGTTAGAACTCAGGAGAGTGGTTACCTCAGGGAGAAAGAACAGTGAAGTGATCAGAAGCTCACAGAAGGGAGGCTTCTGGAGTTCAGAGTCATAGTATATTTTTGCCCTGGGTCACGGTTATGCAAATACAGTTACTTTGTGATAATTCATCAAGCTGTACATTTATGATCTGGGCATTTTTTCTGAATATGTTATATTTCAATGAAGTTAATTTTTTAAAAAGTCAATGACTTTAAAAAAACCATAATGATAAAACTGATGCCTAAAACTGAAAAATAAGAATAAAAGTATGTTATTAAAGATATAAAAATAAAACCTAAAGAATCAGTTTAAAAGACTAAAAGGGGCCATCTTGAGAAATTAGAAAGTGGGCGGAGTTTAAGGGACGCTATTGTCTTAAACAAGCCTTGACTCAAAACCATACAATAATATAACGAAAAAAATAACTATGTAAAAGTTTTTTCATAACCATAATGAGGACATTAAGT